ATCTTTACTGTCATTTTTTAATGCAACCTTGCTGAATAAAAAAAAATTAAATTTTAAACCAGTGTTTAGTAGAATCAGTAGAACAAAGACAGACATCTCTTCTACATAGGTTTACTAGGCCAACATTATTTTTCTTTTCTTTCTGGTAATAGTGTAATTTTATTAGCTCTGACATATGAATCTGGAGCATTTTAGAAAAGATTAGAAATTGGTTAGAAAAGAGGTGTGTTTGTTGGGCCATAAGAAATTGGCAGTGGTTTCATGGTGCAACGCTAGCACAAATACACACTGCAGTACTGAACACAAAAGTGCTGCAATCACACCTCAGTCTCTGGCCTGTAGTTGACTGGGATTGATGGTAAAATTCTTATATTTGCAGCTCTTACAAGGGACCCGGGAAGCCTCTGTGAGACTGCTGACATCGCTACAGTCAAAAACCCTGCTAGCACGAGTGTTGAACGCTAGAATGTTTCTGCATTTATAAACTTCAATAAACATGTTATCATCCTCAGAGGTTCTGCAGAAATAACTGAGGTAGATTGAGATGCTGTCGGGGGCTTTTCTAATTATCCTGTTATTGCTTTTCAATCTCTGTCTCATTAGCAAGCGTGCTGTAGCATTCCTCCTCGGCTCGCTGGCAATTATCACCGACTGCACTCACTGTACAACAGCCTGCGCTTGTGAGGACAAAAGAACTGCAGTGCTAAACATTCTGGAGGCTGCTACCCTTCAATGACCAGCGACTGATGGAAATCATTGTGTGCTCGCAGTTTTAGCCTGTAAATTCTGCCTGAGGCAAAATCCACTTATGAAATATGATAAAAACGGCTGATTCTTGCAGGGGTATTCAGTTGTGCACATTATGTGATATTAAGGAAGTATCACATACACCATCAGCATGATGTAGATTGCCAAAGAGGATATTTACAAATGTGTTCACCTACTTAAACAACCCGTCTTTTTCAAATCTACAAGTGAATGTCTAGTAAGTGTTAAGGAAGCACTGTATAATTATAATTAAATACCATAACCATTAGTATAATTGGGCCACTTTTATTGTTCTCAATTTTTGTTAAAATTGTAGCCATTTTGTTGTTTTTGTAATTTTTTTTAATTAGATGTAGTCTTCTTTTTTATTTTTATTTTTTTTAAATATGTCTATTGTTTTTATTAATCTTAATTTCAGTTTTAGTACACTAGATTTCTCTACATAAAAATGAGAAAAGCTACTTTGACAAACTAGCTGACGTAAGTTTTAGTGTTTTTATATTTTCATTTC